CCAGCTTTCAGGCAGATTCCAAAGCTCCATCTCGGTGACGGTGAGTATTCTGCGATTATCCGATTGCTTTATTTTTGAATTTGGTTCGCTGTTTCTCGAAATCTATCGTATTGTAGCCCGTAAAGTCATTTTCTGCGATTTGAGCTCGAGATTTCTAAGTTCCTGTTAAGTATTAATTTAAATTCAATGATTTGTTCTCTTTCTCTGTTTAATTGTGTAATTGGATTAAGGCTATACATGAGCTATTTCATTAATTTTCTTATAATTCTTTTGAATCGTTGGTTTTGAGTGCTGTGTGAGTTGCAATGTGCTCATAATTTGAGAATTTGGGTGGTCCTTTTGCGAGGAAATTTGGATTTCCATGTTTGAAACTAGTGATTAGCTTTGTTGTTTGAGCCTAATTTTGGTTTAATCTGTATTTTAAGCTAATTTTGTCGGTGACAATTGATGCTTTGACAGGGAAGGATCATTGGTGAATGCCAGCTTCAGGAGAACTGTCATTTTCAGCACATTGTGTAGGAACTTTATGATTGAGCATCTGAAGATGTTTTGGTAATTAGAAGGAATAAGATTCTATGAAGATCTTAGTGGACTCTTCTCTCTCTAATGTTGTTATTTGCTTATGATTGAAACTCAAATTGTAAGGCATCAAATGTAAGGCTGGATAACAGTGTTCTAAATATCACCAGGCGGTCATCGAGATGGAAACGAGGTGTGTGTTTATCCTTGTTAACAGATCTTTTAGCATTTGGCTTTCTCTTTTTGTTAGATCTGAAGTTTGCTTTGTCTTTCCTCAGGCCTGGAGAGAGAGAATTCTCAAATGGTGATGTTTATACTGGTCAACTCAAAGGAACGCTTCCTCATGGGAAGGGAAAATATGCGTGGTCGGATGGAATTATCTACGAGGGTGATTGGGAAGAAGGGAAAATATCTGGGAAAGGAAAGCTGATGTGGTCATCTGGAGCTAAATATGAAGGGGATTTCTCTGGAGGCTACCTTCATGGCTATGGCACCATGACTTCTCCTGATGGTTCTGTCTACAGTGGAGCCTGGAGGATGAACGTACGGCACGGGCTAGGGAGGAAAGAGTATTGCAACTCAGATGCATATGATGGCTCATGGAAAGAAGGATTACAAGATGGCAGTGGTAGTTATTTTTGGACCAATGGAAATAGGTTTATTGGGAATTGGAAAAAGGGTAAAATGTCTGGGAGAGGGGTTATGAGCTGGGCAAATGGTGATCTCTTTAACGGTTTTTGGTTGAATGGTCTTAGACATGGCTCTGGAGTTTATAAGTATGCCGATGGCGGTTTTTATTTTGGAACCTGGTCACGTGGACTAAAAGATGGGACTGGAGTATTTTATCCTGCTGGAAGTAAACACCCATCTCTAAAGAAGTGGTATCGGTCTTTTGGTTACGATGACACAGGAAATTTTGTCCTCTCTCATGATTCATCAATAAATCTTGACGACATACGGACTTCAAAAGCTGTGTCACGAACTCTTTCTGAGATAACCACTACTAGTGGACTGACGAGAAATTCTGGTAGAATGTCGGAGAGATTTCTTGATGAAAATTGGAGCACAAATGATCCTCCAAGAGATTTTATGCATCATGGTCCCTCATCCAAGTCTGTACGGTCTGTTGACTCTGGTCAAAGTGACAAGAACCCTATCGTTTTTGAAAGGGAATACATGCAAGGAGTTTTGATTAAAGAACGAATTATGAGTTCTATTGACATGTCACACAAGGCTAGACCTATGGATGGTCCTAAAGAAGTCACGATTAGCGCTTGTGTGAGCTTTCTAGGGGGGAAATGGAACTATTATCTAATGCTTAATCTTCAACTCGGTATCAGGTAAACAAGATCGATACACATGTCATTTATCTCTGTGGAAGTTTATCAACAAATATTGCTTGTCAAAATGACAACAGAGCTTCATTCAAACCACTTTTGAACATGTTCCTCAATTCTCATATGATCTCTTGAGACTGCTTAGTTGTAGCCTTAAACACAGTTATTTCTGCACACTATGACTTGATAGATGAGTCATACCAGAACACAAATAGTTAAACAATGGTTGTACTAGCTATTCCTCTTACTCAACAAAACTTTTGAAGTTCACAGGTATACTGTTGGAAAAATCACGCCAGTGCCTAGGCGGGAAGTTCGAGCTTCTGACTTTGGTAAAAGAGCCAGAATCATGATGTTCTTTCCTAGAGACGGTTCCCAGTATACGCCTCCACACAAGTCCATTGATTTCGCTTGGAAAGACTATTGCCCTATGGTTTTCAGGTAAGCCTGTTTTCCTCTGCCATATACCAAAAAGCTTAGAATACACGGAAATAATAGCATAATAGGTTTCTATCAATACGTCTATAAAATCTAGAAACTGGAGTTCAATTTGAAATTTTGTTTTGTTAAAGGTTTGAACAACTTCGCGGTGTTTGCCATGTCTCTGAATTACTGATCTATATTGGATCAGTTTTTTTCCCATGGTCAGGGCTTTCTGATATCTGTTAACGAAAAAAAAAGGGTAGTAATGTTAAAAAGGAATAATCATAACCAAATATAATCGATTAAATTAGTT